GACCCTCAGGGCCGGTGCCCAGCAGTCAGCGCGCCAGAGACCCGCGGAGCGTGCCCGCTGGGTTCTAGACCTGCCGAGGCCTTAGGGGTCCTTCCTGCAGCCTCAGCTCCAGGACACAGCCTTCTCTTACTCACTGGTACGTCTCCCTAAAGGTCTGTGGGCCCAGAAGTAGACTGGAGCTTGGCGCCAAACGGGGCCTTCGTTTCCAGCGTTCAGTCCTCATCTTGCTGGGATCCAGGGTTCCAGACTGTAGAATAAGGATCTGCACTATCTTGCTACAGGTTAGGATTGTGCCTAAAACAGCTGAGTGACAACCCAGCAAACCAGAAAGCCAAGTGTCAAGAACTACGTGACTGTGAAGTACAAAATGCTGATTTCCACTTTCAACTAAAATTTACGCTCCCCTCACCACCCCCTCCCCGGAACACCCGTTGCAATGCACGCAGGTTTCCTTTTGCATGTTACTGTATATGAGTTGATTACAGAGACACAGCTCATTCAGGGTGAAACACAGAAATAAGTCTGGTGTAAAAATTTTGAAATAACTGGCAGGCAAGGCTGATCCATAAGGACGGAAAGCGGATCAGTGGTTGTCTGAGGTTGCGGAGGGGGCCCACTGCAGAGAGGCACTAAGGGAAATGGGGGGTCATGGGAATAGTCACCATCTTGTTGGGGGTGGTTGTTCCCTAAATGATGCATTTGTCAGAGCTCATCCCTTAAAATAGTGCATTTCATTGCATGTGAATTATACCTCAGTAAAGTTGATTTAAAGGAAAGGAATGACTGATGTTTTTGTCACTGACACAAGTCATGTCACCTTTAAACAGTTGGGCATGCCTTTGCTATATTTCATATGCATTCTGTTTAGTTTAGTAAACATCTGCTAAGAATCTACTTTGTACAGACAGTACCCTCACAGAGATGGACAAGCTGTGGCCCTTGGACGCCAAAATGATTGTGAACTAGCAGGCGCAATAACTAAAACTGGTCACAGTGACATAAGTCACAATGATATATGTACTCATGTATAGACATGGCTCCTTGCCTCTCCACTGCATCTTCCTAGACACTTTCTAGCTTAACTTAATTCCCACAAAAAGCGTCTGAGTGTGGTCTTTCAATACATGAGGGGAATGAGGAACAGAGGTGTTATGTGACTTGCCCAGAGTCACAGAGCTAGTCTAAGTGACTGGTTCTGTTAGACCCAGTGTATTTTGCTTCCATGTTGGTTGGTGCTATCAGTCTCCCAGCTCTATTCCATCTACAGTGGTACCACCCTCAGAAGGATGCTGCAAAAATGAGTAATCAGTGACTGCTATTCAGGGAGTCTGGAAAGGCAATTTAGATGTCCTAAATGCCAAGAAAAATAAGTTTTGGTCTTTGTTGCTAATTGCTTTTCTTTTGAGAGTCCTTTTCCTTTTTTTTAAAAGCTAGACAGTGATTCAGTGAATAAAACTCTGGCAGCAGTCTGTATGAGGGATGTTATGGAGACATCAAAGACAAGAATGCCAGAATAGTCCAGGAAATGGACCACAGGTGCCTGAACAAGGATTGGAGTATTGGCATGGGGAAAGGATTAGATAAAGAAAATTGACATCTGGTTGACTTGCTAAGGTTGAGGGATGCATTTAAGACAAGGAGAATGTGAAGATTTTCTAGTTGTGTGAGCAGAAGAAGGTTGGAACCATTCACAAAAACAGGAAAGACAGGATGAAGAGTGGCTTTTAGAACATGAAAATGAATATATGTATGCATATGCATGACCGGGACATTATGCTGTGTATCAGAAATTGATACATTGTAACTAACTATGTGTCAATTTATAAAAGTGGCTTTCAAGGAAAGAAAGTTAAAAGCACAGTTTTATATTATAAAATTCAAGGTGTTCCAATGACCTGACTCCATTAACAGGAAGCTAGTTTCTCCAGAGTCGTCATATACACTCATCCTATGAAGTCACTGAGTACAATCATCATCTGAAAGACATAAATATGGAAATATATTGTTTTCTGAGACAAGTTATAAACTGAAACACAGCACCTATGTTTAAAACCACTATCATGAAATAGTTTACTCCATCTATCAACCACTCATGCTTACTTTATATTTTTGTACTACAGATAATAGAAGACAGCCAATTAAAAAACTATTTTTCTCTATGCATTGCTTAAAAATTAACAAAAATGAGCTAAAGTACAATTTTAAAATATTTTTCAAGCTTTCCTTTTGCTTGTGTGTTCTTACTAAAAAGTAAGAATTTATTTGTGTATATTTTATCAAGAAACTACTGGAGAGCCAAAAGAAAGCAGGAAGTGCTTTATGATGCTTATAGCTTTAAAATTGTTCTTTGTAAAAATTAAAATCACTTAAAAATTTAGTACTTGAAGTCTGTTGCCTTAAGGAATAAATATAATAACTGAATAATTTTAGATCTTTTGTCTTTACTGAAAAAGGAACATTTAGAATTTTCAACCCAAATATTTTAATTGTGGGGGAAAAGTATATTTTAAAGAAGTATTCTCAAAGACAGGTAGAACTTTAAACTTTTATCAACAATCTTCATTTGGGTACCACTGACACATGTCTAATTGTTTAAAGATAGAGCAGTCACTTACAGCTTGATTTTGGCCTGAGTATAACACATGGAAGTTAAATCATTTTAAGCTGCCTACCTGATTGTGGTTTTAATACACTAGTATACACATTCATCCTGCGATGTGAGATCTTATCAAATCTATGATTAGTTCTATCTTGGGTCTGTCTGTAAGGTGCCAAATTAAACAGGATTTCCTTGAAAGGTTCTTGGTCAGGTTGAAGCTTGCTATGGAAAGAATTCACCATGGGACCTGGGATTAGCTCCAGTTTTTATCCTGAATAGATTCCTTAACCTTGCTGGGGGCCCGTTTATCCATGGTAACATGGTAATAACAGCGCCTATCTTAATAGATCATAGTGGGTTGGTAAGGTCATTAACAGACATGTCAAAACGACTGGGGATTTGATATCTTAATATTCAGCATATCAAATATAGGAAATTAGTACACAGTTGAAATGGAAGCCTTCTCCACTGATGCATCTGTGGTGCCCACAGAGACTGGCAGCTTCTGGTCCACCTTCATGAGGCCTCTT